GACGAGGAGCCGGGTGTGCTGGTCGAGAGCATCCGCGCGCCGGTGCCGAGAGCCCTCGGCCGCCCCGCCGCGGCGGGCCCCGCGGGCGGGATCCCGGCCGGGGCCGCGCGCGAGCGCGCCGCGCTGCCTCAGGGCATCGTCAGGGTCGCGCCGCCGCCGCTTGTCGCTCGGCCCAGCGAGGAGGAGGAGGAGGAGGAGGAGGCAAAGGATCCGAGTCTTAGCTGGAGTAGTGGGTCTGGTGCTAACTGGGGTGGCGAGAGGTGCAGGCATTCATTGATTGTCTAATCTTCTGTGTAGCAGTGCTCAACTATTGTGGGTGGCCGCGAAATATCGCACGGGCAACAGCTGCTGCATTTCAGGGAACTACACGCCCAACTATCGCATCCAGCGCGCAAGGTGCTGCATCCAGGCACCAGCTATTGCAGGCACTATTGCACCTCTCCCCGCGGACCAATCTGCGTCAGACCCACGACGTCGGCCTAAATCGACGAGCGCGGGCTCTCCGAGACGGGGTCCAGGTAGGTGGGGGTTTGAGGGTCGCGCCGCATTGCCGATGCATCGGCGATACGGCTCGATGTGTAGCTCGATTTTCTCCTAGCCGGCATTGCCGATGTATCGCCGACGTCGCCGTTGCACCGCCATGCATCGGCAATGTATCGGCGATGCGGCGCGATCCTCCGATCCCCCTCTACTATCGGGCCGCACGAACGGGCAGGTAGGACAGGGAAAGGAGCGGTACGAAATCTGCTGCATGCAGCTGGTTTGCGCCCCGCCGCCGGGCCCATTCCTCGATGCTTAGGCGCCTCCCGGCGCCAGGAGGCGCCAGGAAAACTGGCTGCGTGAGCTCATCCTCTACCCTTCGAATATGAGATCGACTACAGAATCGATGTGCCCCAGAATTATTTCCCCGTCGAATCGACGGAAACATGCACAGAATGTTCAGTTGATCTACGGAGCATTCTACGCATTGTGAGGAGATTCGACGGAAAAATGAAGGCTGAGGCAACTCAATTCTGAAGTCGATTTCCTACTCGACCCCTGCCCTTTGCTGTCCTACCCTTCCGCCTCCCCCGATGCTGGGACCCCATGTGGGAGGCCTCCAGCGCCGCCGCGCCTGGCCGGGGCCACCCTGGGCCCCAGGGCGGTGCGCAGGCCTCGCGGAAGAGGCCGGGAGGTCCACCACGCGCGGAGGGGGTAAAGGAGGGATGGGGGAATCCGGAAGGCTTCTCAGAAGCACCCCTGCTTCTTCTCAGAAGGCGCGGGCCTTATCTATAGATCCGGCCACACGTAAGAGTGACCCTTCGCCGCAGTGACTTGTGGTGCGTGCCCAATGGGGTCCCCCGATTGTCGAACACGGTGCGGTATTAGCGTCTTGCGCGCTTGTGTTTGGTCCCCCCGCGGCCCCCAAGAAGCCGCGCACCAAAGGTCACTCTTACCCAGGGTCGCTCTTGCGTGTAGCCGAGATGTCAGGCCGGCGCCTTCTTAGAAGCAGCTTCCTTCTGAGAAGCATCCCCCCCTACCCCCTTGTGCGCGCCTTCGAGGGAGTGTGTACGTACCAGCCAGGGGCCCATGATGGCCCTGGCCAAGCACGGCAGCGGTGCGCGGCTGCCCTCTTCGAGAGGAGGCCGCGCCTGGTCTTGCCGCGGAGGCGGGCGCGGAGGAGGCGGTGGTGGCGAGCCCGCCGGGCTCGGGGAGCTCGAGCGGCCACAGCCTGGACATCGGGGTCCTGGACGACGACATCGAGCTGTGAGGCGGGAGGCTCACTCGGCCCACACTGCCGCGGCGCCCGGGCTGCAGCGGCCTGCTGCGCCCCCGCGTTCCATCGCTTTCACGAGGGGGGCTGCCCGAAGCTCCCTCGTCCTCCGCGATGCTGGAGCCGGCGTTCTCGGGGTGGGGTGGGGGGGCGCCGGCTGCCCACAATCTACGAAAAAGCAACTATCACAAACCTCCCGTCGTGCTTTGTTCACGTCGAAAAGAAATCCACAGTCGAAGAAGAATCATGTTTCGACGGTCCGCGGGATTTCTTGGATCTGCGCTTGGCCCCGCTTGGCGGCGCCTCCAGCGCCGCCCTGGGTGCGCTCCGCGCGCCAGCGAGGGGGAGTCCAGCGCCGATCCAAGAAGTCCGCGTGGACCGTCGTGGGTTTTGTTTTTCTGCTGTCTGTTTGTGCTTCATCTGGAAGGGCTGGAGGCCGTGGGTGCTCCCCGCTCTGCGCCGGCGCCGAGAATTCGGTCCCTCGCGCACGTGCCTTCAGGGCCGTCACGGTCCGAGGCAGCGCAGCGCGTCGGAACAAAAACACGGCTGAGCCAGGAGAGGCCAGAGGAGGTCCGCCATTCGCAGAGGGTGGTAGGGGCAGGGGAAAGGCTTCTTAGAAGCACACCTGCTTCTCAGAAGGCGCGGGCCTCATCTATAGATGTAATGCCCGCGCCTGCTACGAAGCAGCCTCCTTACAAGAACCTTTCCCCCTCCCCCTCCCCCCTCGTGCGCTCCGCCAAGGACGGCCTGTTGAGGCCCCCTCATCGCCACGGCTGGACGCAGCGCGAAAATCTGGTGCGGTTCGACGTCTGGAGGGGTCTCGGGAACGATTTTGATTTGTCATTTTCTTAACCCACCCTCCAGCGAAGGAGTCGGGCGTTGCCAACCCCTGCGGCCTTTCCAGAGAGGTCCAGGTGGGCTTCAGAGCTTTCCTCACGAAGCCGGAGGGCTTATTCAGGGGCTCCAAACGGCGCGGAAATCAGGAGGCATCTTTGGCAAGGATCAGCTTTGGCAACCACGGAATGGGTCGTAGTCGGAGTCGCAGCCTGGATCGTGGGAAGCACACTGCCGGTGGGATGGCGAGGAGAAGGAAGAGGAGGAGGATGAAGATGGGGACTGGGATTTGACAGAGGAGGGAGTAGGAGGGCCAGCAATAGTAGGAGAAGGGAGATCAACTACACATGGAAATCTGTACAGCGTGGACCGCAGGAGTGGGAGTAGGAGGAGGAGGAAACGAGGAGGATGAGGGGGAGGGGAAGGGGGATGGGGAGAAGGAGAAGTCGGGCTCACTTTGGGGATCATTGCTCTCGTCGGCTCGTCGCCGCCGCTTCGGGCAGAGGCGATTGGACTTGGGCCATTGTAAAGACACGTTGTTATTTCGGCTTGGTGATCTCGGCGAAATGTCGGTCCTGGCTCACGCGTTGCGACATCTCTCGGGGGTCATCCAATCATAAGACCATAATATAGTATGTCGTTTCAAGGTTGTTCTAGTGAGCATGGTATTGCGTGTTTCTTGTTCCTCTTGTCCCTTTGTCTTCTTCGTCCTTCTGGTCCTCTCCTCCCTACTCCTGGCTCCTCTCCTCGTCCTCCTCGACTGATTGCCCTGGTCTTCAGTGTCTATCGCGACATGCGCTTGCGACCACCGTCCTTTCCAGGGTGGTGCCACCATTGAAATAGGCTCACCGACGGGGTCAAGGCGCCCCAACGCCTCTGTCATCTACCCCGCATGCCAGAGCCCCTGAGAGGGAGAAAAAGGAGGACGAGGAGGAAGAGGAGAAGAGGAGGCCTCTTGAGGCCGTCTGGGGGCCTCCTGGGGGCTTCCTGGGAGTCTCTTGGTGGCCTCTGGAGGGCCTCGTGGGCGACTTCTGGGGCCTCTTAGTGGGCCTCCTGGCGCCTCGTGCGGGCCTCTTGTGGGCCTCTTGGTGGCCTCTGGGTGTGTCTAACAGGGCCTCTTGGCCTTCGGAGGCCGTCCTGAGGAGGCAGTCGTTGGACATCTTTGGTCGCGTGAGGACCGTCTTGGAGGTTCACGGAGATACCCGGAAAGGCGAGAATTTTGTTTTTGGAGCATTTGGGGCCGTTTTGGAAGCATAATGGGGTCGACTTGGGCTCTCTCAGAGCCATATTGGCCGTCTTGTATGCTATGCTGACCATCTTGGGGTCCATTTCGGGCCATATCCGAGCCATCTGAAGCAGAAACCAAACCTCCTGCCACCTCCGGGAAAGCTTCCCTAGTTGGCGGCGGGATCCATTGGGAACGTTTCGAGAGGTCAAATCCAACTTAGAATTCAGGGAGAAGGACTCGTACAGGCGGTCTCACTAGGAACATCCTGACACACAACAGGGGTGTGCAACGTCGTCTTGGTCTCGGTCTTGCTTCAGACTTTTATTTCGCCAGGGACATCCTACACATGATATGTTGTCGGCATGGCGACTTCGCTGAGGGGCATCCTTACACAAATGAAATGTCATCGACGTCGAATTGGGCTCGGTCTTGCCCAAAATGGCGATTTCGCGAAGGACATTTTCAGCACATTACAGATTGCCGACATCGTCTTGGTATTGCTCTTGGAAGTTCTCAAGACGATCCAACAGAGGCCAACAAGACGGACCAAGAGGACCCAAGATGCCCTCCAGACGGCCCACGGGGCTCCAAGACGCCCCAAGAGGTCTCCAACGGGATCCCCGACATGGCCTCAAGGGGCACACATCAGCGATTCCCTTTAGGTCTTCGCGCGGTCTCGCATGTTCAAGCTTCCGACAGGCCAAGGGGGTGGAAGATGCCGCCGAGATCGTTCCAAGGTTGCACAAGAGGCTCCCAAGAGGGCCCCAAGACGGCTCACGAGGGCCCGAAGACGGCCCAAGGGTCTCTCAGTCCAAACGTGGGAAACGCATGGTTTCGAAAAGCGGCAGGTCAAGACGGGGGAGCACTACATTCGGACAGCGGACGATCCAAACGGGGAAAACGCTTGGTTCTGAATAGCGGGCGGTCTAAACTGTGAAAACACATGGTTTCTGCTGACAGTTCTGAGCACAGATGGACTGTCCAAGCGTGGACACGACAGTGGGACAGCGGGCGATCCAAACGGGTCAAACACATGCTTCTGGAAAGGTAGCGGTCCGAACGGGGAAACCATTACATCTAAACAGCGGAAGGTCCAAACGTTCCAAGAGCGCTCTCACATTCTCGAGCACATGATGAATATCAAACACCACTTGCGTTAAATTATGTTTCTAACTTCGTCTTGAAATCTCTCTCCCAGGACCTCGAGACGGCTCCAGAGGGCCCGAACACATTCCGAGAGTCTTCCGAGACGGCCCAAGAGATCTCCAACATTGTTTCTTCAAGGATGCGGCAAGGGCGGGGGGAGGAGAGGGCGTACGAGGAGGAAGAACAGACAAGCCAGCGATGTCGCGTCATCACAAACAGAAGTTGCGATTTCCGTCCTCGTGCCAAGCAGGTCTCGTGGCCTTCTACCCATCCCGGATCTGAGGATACTGCGTGTACGTTAGGGTATCTTGAGGTGTTTCTCGGGTGGTTCTTGGAAGCAGTGTTATGTCTCTTGGGGCTTCGTTTTGGGTCTCCGCTGGGCTTCGCGGGGCCTCTTGGTGGCCTCCCGGGCCTCTTGGTGGCCTCCCGGGCCTCCTGGGGGCCTCTCGGAGGCCTTTAGGCGGTCTCGGGAACAACTCGGGGTGAAGGGTTCGAAATGCCAGGTCGTGTTTCCCCTCTTGGGCCGTCTTTCGGGGCCCTCTTGGCCAGTCATTGGGTCATCTTGGGAGCCTCTTGGGCCGTCTTGGGGCGATTTGGGGGCCCTCTTGGGCCGAGCGTCACAAGCATTGCAAAACCAAAGGGGGGTCAATGCTTTTAGCCTCTTGGGGATCCTCTTGGAGCCCTCATCGGCCGTCTCGAGACCATCATGGGGCCTCTTGGAGCGCTCTGGCCGTCTCGGGGCCCTCGTGGACCGTCTTGGAAGCCTTGTGTGACCCTCTCAGGGCCCTCCTGGCCCGTCTTGGGCCCCCCTGGCCGCAGGAAACATACCGCGAGAAGCCCCAGAGGTCTGCGGGAACACGAGATACACCCAGGAGACTCTGGCAGCATAGCCTCCAGGCTCTTGCATCTTCAATGTTTCGCCGCGCCATTAGTTTTGACACGCGGCCTTGCGTCTAGGGGAGGGCGCCGCGACCACCAGGGCAAACGCCGCCTCGGGTGGGTTTGCCCTGGGGTTTGCCTCGTTGCCGTCTCCGTCTGCTTGAGCGCGGGACGCAGGGTTTGCTGTGGTTTTGCCGTGTTGTCGGCGTCGTCCGTTTGAGCGCGTCGAGAACAAACGCCGCGGCGACAGATTCAGGGCAGAGGACTGAGGACCCAAAGGGCCTGAGAACAGTCCAACTCATGCCTCGAGGCACGGTGGTGCGTATTCACCGTGAGGGGCGCACGTTGCGGAGAAGAATGGGATGCAAGCGTCCGCTCGCGAGAGGGGAGCGGAGGAGCGCCGTGCCGAGACCTCGGCCCACGGGATCCTTTGACGGCGCGGAGATCTCGACTGCAGCCGCATGGTCTGTCTTGCTCTGCGAATATTTGTGTCGAGTGTTCGTGGTCCAGGGCCAGCCTTATCGGGCTCCAGAGGGGCCAACAAAAGCGTGGGCGACGCCAGGAGTTTTGGGAGTCGGGTAGCGATCCGCGCGGTGGTTTCGACCCTGCAAAGTCGGCGGCTTCTTGCAAATGGAGAGGCATCTGGTTCAGACAAACCGCCTCAAAAAAGGCGATCAATTAGAAAAGGCATCCACAATCCGATGATGAGGATGATGGTATCGACCCGAATCGTACTTGTAAGTGTAGTCCAGGGGCCCATAGCCCATAGCTGCCACTCAGAGAGAGAGAGTCCCTAGATGATGGGCATGACTTCTTGCTATTTCTCAGCCGCCTATGCGGAAAGATCCGAATTCACCGCCTGGACTGGACTGAACATATGCCGTCCGCTGCGTGGACAGAATAACAAGCTCACTCAGCCACACATTCAATCAGCCACAACCGCCCGACCAGCGGGCCCAAACTTTAGCACCCATCAGAAATCTCAATAACAAATATAAGCGTTCATGTAATCCAGGCGTCGTTCAAGAAAACCAAGACGCTGGACTGGACACTGGGCGTTCTC